TCTCATTATTACCCATTGATTGATATAACAGACCGATGTTGTTGTAAATTGCAGCTAGATTTGGATGATCTGATGGAAGAGATTTTTGTTGAATTTCAAGCGCTTTCTGCAGATCTACTAAAGCACTACAGAAATTTCCCGAATGGAGTTTCACACGGCCAATGCTGGCGATGGTATCAGACCTTAGGTAATGACCTATGCCTAAGCCGTCGACGGATGTTGTTTGGAGTAAAACATCGAGTATTTCGAGCGCTTTGTCGAATTCACCCATCTTCTCCATCAATAAAGCTAGACGAAACCGTCCATGTGGTAGTATGCCAATTTCATCTCTTAAGTAGTTGGTCAGATTTTTCAATTGCGGGTCATGATCAGTGGTCAGTGTTAGATTAACTTGCCACAGTTGATGTTTGATTTGTTTGATATCATCAATTCGAAAAACTGCGTGCATTGAAAAAAGTATTTCTTCTTCTGATTGAAAATTACTGATGTCACTTATTGATGCATAAGACGTAGAAGAGTTTGATGAATCAAGTTCCATGTGAAATAAAACTCCAACCGTATCAGGATTTTGACGTGCACTATCGGCGTACAAGAAGGAAACGTCACGGTCAACACTTGTCGATAAGAAATTGTTGAAAGACAAAAGACCAGATTTGTTTTCCTGTATTTTTCTAAAGTCAACCTCTGATAATCCTTGTCCTCGATAAACGATTATATTTGAAGCCTGATGATTTTGTAAGTGTTTTTGTTCGATTTCTTTATGAAGATCTTGAATGAAAAATCCCATCTTTATGATCACTTCGGTATCTTGAGTTCTTAAAGCTTTATTCAGTGTAGAATATAAAAAGGATTCTTTTGTGTACCACCAGATAGGTGGATGCTGTTCATAAGATTGCTGGAATTGATATAATGTCTTTGACTGAGAATCTTGCTCTGAAAAGGAATGAAGGTAGAAATCAATGAATTCTCTTCTTGCATTATCATCATATTTCATTTCAAGAATAATTTCTTTGAGCAATTGCGTATACATAAATGACTGATCTAATGTATCCAAACTTGGAGATGTCGGTGAAACAATACTAAATGGTGTTAAATCAATCGTTAGCCTACAGACATCTTGTTTAAGTAAATCACAAATCGATTCGATTTGTGAAAAAATTCCTTTAACTTTTCTGTATTTTTTTATGCATTCATTATCATGTATTTGTTGACTGTTGATAATATAGATTGTATGAAGCTGAGTAATATCTTCAATAAGAGGAATGATTGATTGATCGAAGGATTCTGAAATAATCATGAATATCTTTTCATGTCTGACATCAGTAACGAATTCAATACATTGATTTGGATCAGTAAATATTTTGACCGAATTAACGACGTATTTCAATTTATTAATACAGTTGTCTATATCTTCGTCAGAGTAGTTTATATTTAAATTCAGCCAAATAACAATAAAATTCTCTGCAATGCGAGATCGTATAATCTGTGATATGTTGTTTTGGATGTTAGAAGTTGTGTTGATATCTGGTGAAGAATCAGATACTGTATTTGTCGAATCTTCAATAATACTTCTGGATCTGGCCGTTAAGCTTACATCTTCTACTGATGATACAATACTAAACTTGGATTCTCTTTCGTTCATCATATAGAGGTTCCGCTACAAACAGTAACTTATAGATATGAAAGATAAAATCGATGTTAGGCTCTTACCAGAGGTGGGCACGGTTCAGGTTTTTCAGAATTTAAACCGAACCGAAACCGAGCGAAACGTGAGCAATGCTGAACCGAACCGAACCGAACCGAAACCGAAATATCTAAAAACCGAACCGGACCGAACCAAACCGAAAATGAAATTCTTAAAAAGTAGTCTAAAGATAACTAGTATTGTAATCTTCACTTTAACTCGTGTATCTGACGAGGAAACCTTCCAAGATGTAACCCTTAGATTTCAATGATTTTTGTACATAGATACTAACTAGTGCCCTAGTAAAATCCGAAAAGAGTTTGAGTTCAGGATCCTTTCTTCAAAAGTTATGAATATTTTAATTTCACTTCTATGTAGATCATAATATACAATATTAAGAAATCAGCAAAGTTATGAAAATACGATAGAGAAACGAATTTCTTTTTCTGAGAGCGTTGTTAGATATTTGTTGTACTTATGAGAAATTTTTATCTTTTTGCTCTTCATATTATCGAGTTATAGGATTTCGGATTCGACAAAGGACAATCAGATATTTATAGAGAGTGATAGTATACGATATGTTATAGAAGTGAAATTAAAATATTCATAACTTTTGAAGAAAGGGTCCTGAACCCATATCCTTGTAGGGCTTTTACTAGGGCACTATGTAGTATCTGTGAACAAAAAATCATTGAAATCTGAGGGTTACACCTAGAGAAGTTCCTTCGTAAGTTTGGATGATTGTAATTCCCCTTTCTCAAGTTGTCGAGCACGAATACCAAAACATTTCCAACAATTAGATTCTTTATATGTTACATAAACAACAAACCAATTACTTTTATTAAATTTTAAATTCGTAATAATATTTTCTGCAGATATATGTGGAACAATATGCGGCACATTTGATAAATCAGATGAAATAGAAAAAGTGGTTTGTTGAATATCGCTGGAATCTGTTGAAGAATCAAGATCAATAACATCATTTACATTTGATAAGGGAGAAATATTCATTTTATATTAAACTTGATATACTTGTCACCACTAAAAGTATGTGAATGTTTTCATATATGAAAAAAATAATTGCCTATTTAAGTCCCGTTATTCATAGACGAATAAAGAAAGACTATAGAGGATAAATGAATACATTCATTGTTACTAACGATATCTTGCAGTGATTCATTTCATTTGCTTTACATGTACATATGCTCATCTAAAAAGATATCGTAAGCGTCTACGGATATAAAGAATAAAAATGCATATTCATAAAAATTTTATCCAAACTGCATCAATTTAGATTAGAACCGAACCGAACCGAACCGAAACCGAGTGCCGAACAGAACCGTGCCCACCAATGGCTCTTACCTGTTTTTATTACAGTAAAAACTTGTAGTTCGATAAGAACTCTATTTTTTTCACAAATGAACAATTCAATTTATACCTGATTTTGCACTATCAGTTTTCCAACTTCACATTATCATTCTTATTATCTTAATGTGCTCCTTAAAAAAAAACATCAATTCATGAAATTGCCACAAATTTATTCGCGTAATCGCCATAAAGAAAACAAAAAAAAAGACTAATAATTGATTATGTTGTCATTGTACATAGGACAATCAAAAAGTTCTGAGAACTAGTAACATCCCTTCAATGCACAGTACATTACAGATATGTGCAGTCCACGGGTTTCACCCCACGGAGCCACGTGGCGACGGGCGGGTGGGGCACAAAATTTTATAATCTACGGGGGTCGGGCAGGTACGGGTAACGTCGAGACATGGGCGGTCCGGAGCGGGTTGGACTTTTTAAAAAATGTAAGGAGTTCGGGCGGGGCGGAGACAGTTATGTACGGGTTCGGACGGCGCGGGGATAGTTGTGTACGGGTTCGGGCGGGTAGAAAAATTTTTCGAGGTATGATGAAGGACCGTGAAAAATTATTTATAGATGTTAAGCTAGATTTCCATTGAGAAATATATTGAGTGATTCATTATCTTCATCGTATTATCGACAAGCTTTCTTGTTCTTTTCCATTCCTTGCCGTAGTCATATTTTTTATTGTTAAATCATTCATTTTTTGGAGTTGAACACTAAATTATTCTCCATTAACCTACGAATTAATACTGAACTTCGACTATTCATTTGTATCAACAAGCGAAGAAGGCCAACAAAAGCAAATTATGCAACAAGGATAAATGCTTTTAATTAATTGTTTTTATCAATAACGATGACGAAATTAGATGATTGTCATATTCCAGAACAGTCAGTCCCAAGAGATTTATGGTGACTGACCTATACTCATTCTATCGATTATAAAGCTAATTGAAAGATCAAAATATAAGATTTGTCCAAGGCTGCAGTGCCCACATGGTGTATGAGAAAGGATATCCTCTTTTAAAAAATTTTCAATTTTTTCTAGGGAAACTCGCATTTTATTAAAAATATGATAAAAATTCCAAAATATAGATCAACACTGCCTGCTCAAAAAAATTAAGTATACATCATTTTCACTATAAAAAAATTCATAGCAGCCACCCTCCTCCCGAACACCTGTGCTTTTCCTCCTCTCACATCTATACTTTTGTCTAAATTTCTTCAAATAATTTGGTGAGCTACGTAAAATAAATCACTGAAATTTAGTTCGGGTTTTACGGGAACGGGACGGGGCTCGCCGAAAAATTGACGGGCGATCGGGGCGGGGCGCTGATACTCTTCACTCGGGGGCGGGCGAGACGGGCTAGAAACCCAACGGGTCACGAGCAAGGCGAGGGATATTCAGAAAATTATTTGACGGGGATCGGCGAGGCGGGTTTGGCGTTCGTCGCGGGCGGGACCAGCGGGGTATAAAATATCAATGCCTCGCACATCTCTGGTACATTATACGTGGGTCACTCCGAAAGGTTTTAGATTCTTGATTAAATTTAATAGATATATATGAGTTTGGTAGTTGCGATAGTAGACCCAAGTCTTAGGAGAAAGTCCACAAAGTGTTGGCTCTTGGATATTTCTTCTTTCGTTTTGTTGCAGATTAAGTGATACTAAATTGGAAATAATATTTTACAAGGGGGTGTCACTATAATTTTAAATAGAGTAAATAATGAATTTTATACCAAATGACAGCCTGTCAAAAATTAAGTTTATTAGTACTAAACAATAAGGATTATGGAAACCTTTCGTAGATTGAAATGTCTAAAATTAGGAAATTTCACCGATCATAGGTGTGAAAAAAGTTATCTCAATTTCCTAAATTTAGACATTTCAATGTACGAAAGGTTTCCATAATCCTTATTGTTTGGTACCAGTAAATCCCATTTTTGACGGGCTTTCGTTTGGTATAAAATTCACTATTTACTCTGTTTAAAATTATAGTGACATACCTCTGGCTGAATATTATTTCCATCCCAGTATGAATCTCAAACGAGACCAAATTCGAGTTATCATTTACTATGATACATCAACAAAACGGAAGAAGAAATGTCCAAGAGCCATATTCGAAAGGTTTTAACAGCAGCGCAAATAGCGAAAAGACAAGTTATTTAGTTTTTATTGTCATCATACGATGTTTCGGTAAATTTATCATTATTATCAAGTAAAAAGGAGATCGCTTACAGAAAAATAATATATAGACACTACATGACCTTCTTCTATATAGCAAAATTAAGAATGTATAATAACAGTCCCCCTCAAAACCCGTCCTGTACTTCGTCGTGGTGTGAGGGCGAACATCTGAGTACGGGACTACTCGTTGAAGCTATGTCATCAGTGATGGCAGCTGCGGCTAAAGAATCACCTAGGGCGCTACGCGAGGTGGACAGACTCAACGGGAACCCTGAAAATGATAGGCAATACAGGCGGTGACCGGATGGCCGGTCTAGAGCGGACGCGAAGGTCTTCTTTGCAAACAGTCAGCTACCTTATCTGCGTTCTCCCGACAAGGAACCAGGGAAATTCTCTGCCTATGTAATTCACTATGAGACAAAACCAAAATACTGGAACGACCAACGACGTAAACGGATCCCAACCATCAAGAGTGGGACCCGCGTTCGGCAGGGTCGGAAGTAAGGCCGACTCGATCGTCATCAGGCAAACTCATTACTACCCTCAAGCAAAACGGTTTCTGTCCAAGAAACTATTTTGTGCTGGTACATGGAATATAAGAACGCTCCTGGAAACAGGGGCGGCTACCATCCTCATCTTAGAACTTGAGAAAGCAAAGATCAACATGATGGCTCTCCAAGAAGTACGCTAGCCCGGTATTGGTGAAACAACATGTGGCTCCTATACAATTTTATGGTCTGGTCTAACTGTCGGCGCTCCACGGTCTGCAGGAGTGGCTTCCGCCCTCGATCGGACCGCCGTCGCAGCTATGATTTCATGGCACTCAATCAACCGAAGACTGTTGACGACTAAATTCAAACGCAACTTCGACTATCTTTCAATAATAATAGCGCACGCGGCCACGAACGAGGCGAGAGAGATTGACAAAGATACCTTCTATCAGCAAATTGAACAAGCAACAAAGGCGATATATCAAAGCGACCTCAACATCTGTCTCGGTAACTTCAACACTGTCACGGGAACATCAAGAATCAATATGGAACACATTATCGGCCAGTATGGAAGTGGCACTCCAAACAACAACACAGATAGACTACTGAACTTCTGTTTGGAAGCTGGGCTAAGAATCGGTGGTTCATAGTTCAAGCGTAAGGATATACACAGGTACACATGGTTCTCAAACGACGAGGTGACCGCCAAGGAAATCGATCACATTTTGGTCAACACTAAATGGTCCGTCCTGCAAAACTGTCACGTCTATTGTAGTCTGGAATTCGACACAGACTGCCGACCTGTAATCGCTACGATGTCGATGAGGCTAAAACGCACAAACGAGAAAAAAATCACACACCTTACATTATAACATCAAGAAGCTGGAAGATCCTGCAGTGCAATTTCAATACGCAGTGGTCACAAGCAACCGCTTCGCCGCACTAGCAGCCGAAGAGACTTCGAGCTGGGACAGATTCAAGGAAACATTAAACGATGTGGCAGCCAAGCAATTAGGTATGCGCAAACAAATGAAGAAGTCGTGGGTCAGCGACACCACCCTCACATTGGTTGAGAAAAAGAGACAAGCAAGACTTCTCAACAAGCATGATGAGTACAAAACATTGAACAAACAGTACAAGGCAAATCTAAAATTGGATCGACAACAATGGGCTGACAACATGGCGAGAGATGGAGAGGCGGCACTCATCGCAGGCGAAGTGAGCGACGCATTCGCTAACTTTCGATGCTTAGCTAAGGCCATCCGACCCGTCAGCAGCCCAATCCTCGACGCAAATGGCAATATAATCAGCAACAAATCATAAAAATTGGAATGTTGCTGCAACTATTATGCTGAACTTTTTAACCGACCCAACGCACCCGACTCCGAGGAATTGACTACCGCTGCCCAATCGGCCATCGAAGATCCAACCATCAATTGCAGCGAACCAACGGTGAAGGAAGTTATCAACTGTCTGAATAAAATGAAAAACGGCAAAGCACCTGGCATATGCAATATTACTCCCGAGATGATGAAAGCTGGAGGCGTCGACTGTAGTATCTGGCTAACCAATATCTTCCAGGATGTCTGGCGTTCCGGTGTCATTCCATCGGATTGGAAAAGAGGCATTATTTTACTATTCTACAAAAGGAAAGGTGACAGGCAGGAGTGCAAAAACTACAGAGGCATCTCATTACTTCCTGTCCCGACCAACTGTTTGCGCGAATTCTTTTGTCAAGAGTGAAGAACTTGCTTTTGGCCAAGCGCAGGAACGAACAAAGCGGCCACACCCCAGGCCGATCAACGGTGGATAGAATCTTCGCATTACTTACTCTACTTCAAACACGGCGCGAGTACAACCGCTCACATTGGATCGCCTACGTTGACCTCAAGGCAGCGTTCGACTCGATCGATCGTAACGCTCTTTGGCTTATACTGGCAAGTCTCGGCATTCCCAAGAAAATCGTCG